TTTGTATGATTTCATTCAAAATTAAAAATGCTATAGCATTTCATTAAAAACATTGTGTAAACTTATATTACATAATGTTGCTTGCTAATAAATCTTACTAGCTATGTGTTTTCTTATTTTTCATAATTACTTTTGTTCATACCAATACCAAACAAAAAAAAAGACAGTTGTTGACATTTGTTGTATTCTGCATAAATATTCATGTTAAATGTACTTGAGATTATATTTATAACCTTGCTTAAATATTTCCATGTTGTATAATAAAAAAATAAAGGTGATTTTTTTCGCCTAAAGAAATAGCTAAAGATAAAAATTTATCAACAAATTAAAAATGATGTTAAGTGATTGGCAAAAGTGTGTCATAACTTTTGACCTGTGAAAAGAATATGGCATTAGGGGAATAGAAATTGTTGATACTAACAAGAGCAAAGTTTTGCATGTTACAAAGACTGGTTAGGACAAATACGAGGGCAGATCAAAAAGTAAGTTGCACTTCCAAGTTATGACCATTTATTAAATTGTCAATACAAAAGCAATACGGCTATGGCAGCATACAATATAAGTTCACTTTTCCACATAGCTTCCAAGACACTCTAAACATTTCTCCAAATGGACAACCAACTTTTCGATTCTGGATGCATAGAAATCTCTCTCCAGCGCTATGTAACCACACGGAGACAGCTACTTTCATCTCCTCATCATTTCGGAATTGTTGTCCACAGAGATGCTTTTTAAACTTACCGAAAACATGAAAGTCACATGGTGCTAAATCGGGACTTTATGGAGGATGTTTTCGTACTTCCCACTTGAGTCACTGCAGCAGATCGTATGTTTGGCAAGCCTTGTGATGTGTGGCGTCATGTTTTTGGTAAGCTTTAAAAAGCATTTCAGTGGATAACTATTCCAAAATGATGAGGAGGTGAAAGCAGCTGTCTCTGTGTAGTTACATAGCACTGGAGGAGATTTCTATGCATCCAGAATCGAAAAGTTGGTTGTCCGTTCGGAGAACTGTTTAGAGTGTCTTGGGAACTATGTGGAAAAGTGAACTTGCATTGTACGCTGTCATAGCCGTGTTGCTTTGTATTGACAATTTAATAAATGGTCAGAACTTGGAAATGCAACTTACTTTTTAATCTACCCTCATATGACTGAAAATATGAAGAAAAAATAATTTTAATGAGTTATGACTGCTTCCTTGATTTTTTTTAAGGGTCTGTAAAAGAAGTTGTAAATTTCTCCAGACTGTTAGTAATGGGCCTGTATACTAATTTCTTACCCAGCAGTGCATGATTATGTAGTAGTTTGGAATGAAACTGCTGGACAGAAACAGTGTTAATCTAAGCTCAAAGTACTTTAACTTGGACCTAAATTCACAAGCCATGGATTGTTGACAGTAGAAGGTTATTTTATAAAGCAATAATTAACTGTGCCTTTAACTGAATGATCTAAGGTGCATGTTCAACTGGAGATCTGAAAAATCATTGGCATTTGAGCATATTCAAATAATTCTGAAATAAGATGTATCTATAATGGTTTTCGTTAGTTTCAGTTGTAAATTGGACTCGCAACCATTAAGAAGGTGAACAAAATCATGGATTAGTATACTTTGATAGAAATTTTAGGCAATTACTTGAATTCTTCTGTGCATTATTTGCAGTCTATTAAGATAATAGTTTTATGGTTCACATAGCAGAAACCATTATTGATTAATATGAAAAGCTCGATTAGAGCTTAGAACTTGTAAATTGGCATACCAAATAATGAAATTTTAATCCCTTAGGCCACCTTAAATGGAAGATAAAATCCAAACTGTGATACACTGAAATCTCAATGAACTGTGAAATTAACTCTACTTAGAAAGGTCGAAAGTTGATCCGAGTTATTTAAATGATCTTGAATCTTTTTTATTAAGTATTAATGGTGTATTTTCTACATGTAATGTAACTTAATAAGTTAAGTAAAGGTAAGTTAGGAATGTTTCTAATTTTTTGTCTAATGTCTGTATGATTATGTAATATGTCATCAAAAATCACATTGTATACCACGAGATTAGTATTAAATTAGTTAATTTGGACTTAGTATAATTTTTAATGGGGTGTAAATTAGGGTTGTTAAATGTTTAGTCATTTTAGTGAAAATAATGTGTATCGTCAGTTTAATACAATTTGGAAAGTAATTTTTAGTTAATTCAGCTTTCTTATTCGTAATTCACCATTACATGCAATTTTTTTGTGTTGTAAATGCTTCAAAAAATAATATATCATAACTTTTTATTACTTCACAAATATGTAATTCCTGCTCCCAGATATAAAATGTCAGGCATCTGCGTAAAAAGTAAATGTCTCAGTAACTGTAATTTAAACTGTATAAGTTTTATCACCCTTATGTATTCAGAATAAATCTTATATAATTTCAGTGTTCTGTGCATTCTTTGAATGTTATTTAATATGATTTTTATATGTTTATTAGTAAATAAATATATTCTGGCCTTAATATGTGTTTAATTAAAAATTGTTATCATTCTATTTTTATTTAATGATATTGTTCAGTGGAATAGTATTTAATTATAATGTTACTTTCTTTTCTATGCATATACTCACATTTTAATATGATTCTTAGAAAATTTAGGTTAAAGAAATTAATCCTTATTTTTTTGGAAATAAATGGACTTTCTCTAAGACAACCCTCTTTAGTTCCAGAAACTTTGGGTCTTCTATGACAGTAGTCATCTTGGAAAAGATGGCTATCAATAATAGATTTTAACAACTTCCATAATGACTTAATTACTTTCAAGACTGTTGATTTCAGTTAAAGAAAATACTGAAGCAGGAGTGTGATGTATGGATTTATTAATAAAAACTAAGTAGTAAATAATCCAGTAATAAAACAAAACTTTAAAAGAAACCATGGTAGTGGTTTCAATATAGTACTCTTTACATAATCATTACATTCCTCAACTGTTTCTTCTATTTTTTTTCTTTCCTGTAAGTGCAGCTCATAAATGCTGAAAATGGATGATTTCTGCGGTACTGTAAGCAAATAATGTTTTAAAATGTGAATTTAGAAGAAAGATTTAAAGGAAGAAAGTAAAAAATTATTAAAACTTTTTAAAATGTTTAGTAATTTAAAAGCATTTACTGCTTACTTAATCATTGAAGTCATCCTACTTTATTGTGTTCCTTTGTTAATATTTGCTTTTCTAAAATGGTTTAAACTTAATAAAATAAGTCAACCATTGAGGTGAAAGTTCTGAAAAGTTGAAGTGGAGGCATTGGCAAGCCATTATAAAAATGCTTTTCTTTTATCAGTCTTCAATATATACATATATACACTAAACTGTTAACTTAGAAATAAACATGATCAATTGTATTTGTATCAAAAGTAGAAACTAATTTTAGCATTGTAGCCGCCCAACTGGTATAGTGGTTAATAACCCTAACTGCGTAGTGATGGACCTGGGTTCGAATCCTGGAAAAGGCATGGTTGTAATCATCCGTCCCTTTATAGGAGGCAACGGTGGCCACCTATTATGTGCTTCCATAATGAAATGGCTACGATTTCCAGCCCTTGTAGAGTGGTGCAAGGCTAATGACTATTAAATAAAGTACTCGGCCATTTAAAAAAAAAAATCTAGCATTGCTTGAGCCTTGATTTGTGATACATTATGAGCTGCACTTATGAAAAATAAAAAAATTAGAATAAACAGTTAATATAATGACTTATTTAAAGAATGCTATATCATAATTACTATCTTATCTGTCACAAATTGCATAATATTGAGAAAACACAGAAATATCTAGAAAGGATTAAATATTATTTTCTATCATTTTTTAATAAAGTTCTGTTGTTTCAGTAAGGTTAGAAATATAACTCCTTGACTTTTTGGATACATGAAATAATTTATTCTGATAGGTAAATTAGGCATTTTGCTAATTAATTGCATAATGTATTTTTTATGTTCAGATTCAGGAGCTGTCATCTTAGAGAATAATATTATAATTATAAATTAATACTTGTTTGTTTCATGTTCTTGAATATACTGGTCAATCTCGGAGGGCTCACTGTATATATATATATGTGCGTGTGTGTGATATTTATGCAGATGTTTTCTACTATGTTGTGAAATATTCTATTCTTTTGAATGAAAGGATAAAAATTAAAAATTATGTTTTGTTATTCATAGCATAATAATTTAACATGAAAGTTGTGGATTTTTTTCCAACCCTCATGCCTATTATCCAAGTACTCGTAAAATATGATTAAGTAGATCATCATATCTATTCAGGGTGTTTCAACTTTCAAATGTGTTTACTGTGTCCCAGATTAAAATTAAATTTGGGTACCAGCGACTTTTTTGTGTTGCAGAAAGCTGCATTTTAAAATATTTAAATTTTGTTTTTAAAATTATTAATTATGTAAATTGCTTTTATCATTTTAAGCACTATTCCTATGTGTGTGGGGGGGGAGGTAGTTCTCATGGCACCTAAAGCTTATCATTGCTGTCTTGTAACTTTTCTCTGCTTCCTTGCCTTAAAATATAATAAAATAAAACTGCAGTATTTTGAAATAAAATATTTATATATTTTTAATCATGATTTTTTATGTATAATTTTTAGATATTTTAAATAGGTAGTAAGTAATCTTAATAATTGAAATTAGTTAAATAAAAGTGAATCTAATCAGTATTTAATTTATGCACTGTTATCTTTTAAAATACTAAATCTTTTCATTATGTGTGATCTGTAAATTTTAATAAGCTTTTCTATTGTAGTTATCACAAATTTGTCTCTATTAATTTGATAAACAGTATAAAAATTTTTAGTTTTCATGTTACTTATCATTGGTGCCTTGTAACTTTTCTATGCGTTATTGCCTTAAAATTTAATAAAATAAAACTGCAGTATTTCAAAATAAAATATTTGTATATTTTTAATTATGATCTTTTTAAATATAAATTTTAGATATTTTAAGTAGGTATTCAGTAATCTTAACAATAATTGAAATTAGTTAAATAAAAGTGAATCTAATCAGTAATTAATTTATGTACTGTTGTCTTTTAAAATACTAAATTTTTTCATTATGTGTGATCTGTAAATTTTAATAAGCTTTTCTATAGTTATCACTAATTTGTCTCTATTAGTTTGGTAAACAGTATAATTTTTTTTTTTTTTTTAGTTTTCATGTAACAAACACTTTTGGATTATTTATATGTAGTATAAGGAGATGAAAGCAAGAATCAGTTAATGGTTTTTATAATATTTCAAAATTTGCTCTATTGGTTGCATAGAGAAAGACAGAGATAATATTTTAAAAGAATTGTGAAGTGTGTTTGTGGAGATTCGTATTTATTAATTTCAAGTAGTTTTCATATCTTTTCCCAATTATATTTTGATAAAATTTCATAATGTTTCCAATATGTAATTGCTTTTTCCTGATGTCTTGAAAAAAAAATGTCATATTGCATATGAATATTAAATAAAGAACAATGTATGGACATATATTGAATGCAAACTGTTAATTTTAATTTCTTAAAGATACTGTGAGTATAATATGTTGATAATTGATAAATATACATTAGTTTCATATGAAGCTGAAATGTGTATTTGTTAATCAAATACCTTTGGCTTTTAGTTATTGTATTTAATAAAAAGTTTTTTAATAAGACTAGTTAAATAAAAATATCATCATTCGAAGTTGATTAAATTTTTCTTTAGTGTGAAAGGATATGTGATTTATTATTCTTTTTTAAGAGGAAACGTAAACTCAATAAATATGAAAATTTTGAGATTTGCTGCTAGCTCATAGCACAGGCAACAAAGATAGGCCCCTAAGGTAGCCATTTTCAGAAGATGCCAGACAAGATATTCTCACAAGTGACATTAAATAAAGCGTTTTTCTGCATTTATTTACGTTTAATTTATACTCGATGTCAACTATAATCATCACCTTGGGTATTGAAAATGTTGGTCCCAGACCTGTTAATATTCAAATGCCATATTGTTTTGAATATAAGATAATCATCCCCCTGCTTAATATGCCGTTCTGAAAACTATACTCATTTTACCGACAAAATTTTTAAAAATATGAAAATAAATTTTTCACTTATCTCTTATGTTTAAAAGAAAATGCATTTTAGTGATGTTTTGACCATGTAATTTTTTTAATTTGTAACTATATTTCTTGTGTAACATCTTCAGCATATCAAACTTATCTATGTGAAACTATCTTCGTACAGTGCATTTTTTATTTGTTAAATGTTTTTAAAAATTCACGATTGTCTTACGCAGCAGATTACCTTATATTCTGTATCTTATAATAAGCTCCTTCATTACTATGTAATGCTTTATTCATGCTTTCAGTTTAATGTCAGTCTAAGTATTTATTTAATACTTTGAAAATATGTCATTATAAATTTCGTCTTTAGGTGCTGAAATTTTTGCTATTGAAAAACAGATGTTCACAAGTTACACTCCTAGAGGGAAAAAGAAGATATCACAAGGGTGTCGATTTTCATGCATATTTTGTCCTTATTCAACAAATAATATCGGACACATGAAGTATCATAAATTAACTCATACTGGTGAGCGTCCGTATAGATGTCCAGTATGTAGCCAAAGATTTTCACTCAAGAGTAATATGCAAAGGCATCTGCTAAGACATAATGAGATATCTTATGGTGAATTCATTTGCCATATCTGTTCCATTCGATTTGCATCCAAATTAGGATTGGCTAAGCATTATAAATGCCATATTATTGAATGAAGATCTATTGAACCATGATAGTAAGCATTACATCTGAAAGAACTTGGACATATATATATATATATACCAGTTATTAATTGGTAATGCATTTTAAAATTGATTGATAAAAAATCATAAATTATTCAATTGTTTTATGTAAAATATAATTAAGAAAATCTCATTAAGGTTTTTTTGAGCAAACCCATTTTATGTCTGAATACATTCGACTGCATAAAAAAGTTATCAGGGTTCTTTTTAAATTATTTATATAAATTTGAAACGTTAATGAAGCAGTTATTCTTATAACTCAGAACTTAAACACTGTAAATGAATCTTTAAGTAGTTTTAGTATATGTATGCTGTATAATCTGTCATATTAATAGAAATTTCATATTGGTGTTAATCATTATTAATTTCGTGGACATAACCCAATCGGAGCAATAGAAGTAATTTATTTTGAATTAGATAGGTTAGTATATTTGATATCAATATACTAATCTTTTTAATATATGATTTACTAATCTTTTTAATATATGATTAACAAAAATCTTAATCTAATTTTAATAGTAAATGTTGTCATAAAAAATTAAATTTATATTTGTTCTAGCATCATAAGGCCAAAAAAACTAGTTGTAAAGAATAAAAAGATCTAAAATGAAAATTCTTCTGTATTTGAAGCTAGGAGTTATTTAATAATAATATAAAGTTCTCTAACTGCCAAATAATTTGTAAGAATTCTTAGTTATCATTTATTATTAAACTCTCTAAATACTGAATTAAATTAATTTTTTTTTTTTTTTTTTTTTTTTTTTTTTTTTTTTTTTTTTTTTTTTTTTTTTTTTTTAGAAACTATTGTATCATTAATAGCAAGCGCTGTTTTAAATGCTAGAGGACAAGCTTCTGATTTTCTTTTCCTTAGGAAATTTGCTTCTGTATTTGTATTGTTTCATGTTCTGATTTTTACATTTTATCCATAGTTTTAGAAATATTGCAGTGTTTTACCTGAAATTGTTAGTTGATTAAACTGTATTCTAATACCTGATACATATAGCCATGTACTGTTGCATCCAGGACTAATGTTATTAGACATGCATAGCAGTTAACAGTTTTCTTTTTTGTTGACAGAAAGCTCATATGAACAAGCATCTTTTATTTACACTTCTGATAATGATGTTTCAAACCTTTTAATTTGTTTGTGCTACGGAATATGTCTATATTAACTTTATATGTATTAACTTTTTTTTAATTTATTGATAAATTCATGTACTAGTTAAACACATGCAAAGGAAAATGCTCGTTCTTTTAATAAAATATTAAAATTGTTTTTGCATTATTTTACCGTTAGAAAATCCAAGACTGGCACATTTTAATTATCGATTTATAAGCTAATATTTTTATATTTGTTTTGTATTTTTTTAGCTAGAATCTTAATAAGCTAATACTTTTATAGTTGCTTTTATTTTTTTGTATTGAATCTTAAAGTGAAACAGATATAAGTTAAATTTATATGAATGCATGTATTAAGAATATTTTATGCTACATGATGACATTAATAGGACAAAAATGTAGTGCAGGCAATTTTGGCACTGCATGGTATTATCTGTCTACTTTGATTAGGATGTTCTAATAAATCAATTCAAAAGTCTTTAGTTCACAGTATATTGAAAAATGAAAGTTATTTTCCAGCTTTGTTTTATAAACCAGAGAACTGTTAAGATACTTAAAAGGGTTCTTTCTTATATATAAAACATGGTCTTGTAATTTCAGCAACAAAATTCAACTAAACGGCAAAAAGATATATTGAATAATTTTATTATTAATGCTTTGTTATTTTTTTAATTCATTTCAAGCATCATAATGTGGTGACATGTATAAGTTTATTTTCAATATAATATATGTGAGTTGTATGTAAATAGAGAAAACATTAACATAGGTATAGATAACTGCAGCAGCATTAGTAAAGGTAAGTTTAAAAAACTTGTAATTAATGTTTAATAATTTTGTTATTAACAACATGTAGGTAGTGGGCTGCTTTTCATTACATTACAGTTTTAAAGCTTTTGTTATATAATTCACGTTTTAGGAGTTTTATTCTTTTAAGTATCAGTAACACAGTATTTTTTTAATTAAAAAGCTAACAATTTTTATTTTTTATGGGAAATGTTATTGGCAAATAAATTCAATTTCCAGTATTTTTGTCTTAAGCATTATGTGTTGAAAGTTTTATTGAAAACTGAATTATTGAATTTTATTCAAACTCTTATGATGTTTGTTCTAATTCTCAATGTGCTATTTTCTTTTGATGTTTTCCAAATTAAATAGAGAAATTTCTGTTTATTGGGACTGGTGGTAAAAGCTGCTACAGTATTTTGTGTCTGCACTAAAATTTTCTATGCCTACATATTGCCCACATATATTACTTTGATTATAAACCTATACCTGTCACTGCATTAAAGTTTCAAATTGAGTATGTTTAGAAGTTTTCGTTTTCTAGAAATGTGACATATTTATACTGAATGATGTAGCGGGGGGTGTTCCAAAATTAAACTCTCAGCTTATATTATTAAACTGTTCTTTCTTTCTGTGAAATTTGTTTCTTTCATATATATTATATTCTAAATATATTTTTTAAATTGCTGTAGATTATCACCATTGTGTGTTTTCAAAATTTATGAGGGAAATGAGTATTTTAAGAAAATGGTCTTTTTTTCCCCTCCATAATTTCTTTATTAATTGTGCTTTTGGAAATAAAATTTGGTATTAAAAATATTCAAGATTGAAGTTTTGTTATTTGAAGAAGAAAGGGCGGAGAGAAGGGATTTTTTTTTTTTTTTTTTAAATCGCTACATTGTAAAGAAGTATTTAAAAAAAAAAAAGAATTATCGTTTACCCTACTAAAATATGTTTATGGTGTATTGTGCCATTTGCCATATTTATTTAAATTGGTGTTATCTCGTCCAAATTCTGCCTTGGTTTGCTGTATCCCGTTAGTTAATTCATTTTCTCATTAACTTATTATTTTTTATTGTTATAATTTTTCAATATGTGTATTTTTATAAACTAGTGTAAATAGTTAAGAGGGCACTTAGTAAAATCAGTGTTTCGGGATTAAAGCAATAATATTTTTCAACATTGTCTTTGGAAAGAAAAATTGAAATGAAATTACTCAGGCGAAAACCTGTGATAAATCATCCAGGTGACAAAATCTAAGACTGGAGGTTTGTAAATTGGGAAGGAATTCAATCCCAATTTACATGAGAAATGTTCATGGATTTGTGAATGCAAATCAAACATGGGTGTTTTGTTTTCCATGTCTCCTGTTTGTAAAACAGAATGGCAATTGAAGTTGGGTGAGTTATGGTATTGCTGATTTATCACATCTGACTCAGAAAATAAGAATACTCACAATCACATTTAAACTCTATCTTAAAATTTAATTTGATACGAAAGGTGGATATTCACCAACAACTCGATAGTGCATTTCATTCAAATGTTAAAAGACATAATTAGGAGGTTGCTAAAAATCATTATGTTCCAATAAAAAGTATTGATTGCATTCTGCTCTCCAGTGCATTTGAGCTTGCACTTCATGGACATGATGAATGCGAGGATTCATCAAAACGGGGAGTTTACAGAGGTCTTATCAGCTTCTCAGCAGAATTTGATCTGCCTCAAAGATCATCTTACTAGTGTCAGTATTTTTAAAGGAATGTCAAACGATATTCAAAATGATTTATTAGACTGCATGCTCATTGTTTGTCAGAACCACATAAAAAATGAGATCTCAGAAGCAAGTTTTGTTTCAGTAATAGCTGAAAAAAGTACTGATGTGTTATCCACTTCCCAATCGGTTGTCGTTTTTTTATATGTGTTAAGTAACAGATAACTAATTGAAAGATTCTGGAAATTAATGAAACCACCAGGGCATGATGCAAAATCTAGTGCTGAATGTATCCAAATAAGTTTGGAAAAATTATTAGACAAACCCAAGAAAATAATATTGCATAGCTACGAGGTAAGCATGATGAGTGGTCATCACACTGGTGTTCAAGCTTTTTTATTCAGTGTACCTGCACAAATGTACAGTATGTGCATGGCTATGCATGTGAGCTCAGTTTTATTGGGGCAAGTAACCAGTCATAATCAACAAAGTTCGAGTATTTTTTCCCAACCTGAGTGATATTAAAACTTTTTCAATAACTGTAGAGAATTGCTATTCTAATTGCTAATATGTTTCAGTAACTCTGGAGAATAGCTCTAGAGAACTCTCTAGAGGATTGCTATTCTAACTTCACCAACAGGTGGAATTTTAAGTATCAAACCATCAATATGGTGTATAACTGTAGGAAACAATTGATTGAATACATAGAAAAAAGAGAGTCAACATCTAAACCATCTGTAGCAAATCAAGCAGGGGCTATTTATCATACATTAGGAGACACAGAATTTGTGTTCTAACATATTTGAATTTGTGTTTTTGGCTTGCAGTATTTCACAGCATTATACCACACATCTATGTGTTATACAACCAGAAAACATGACTGATGCATCACTTATTAGAATGCTGATATGCATTTATTTAAATGTTTTCCAGCAGCCATTAGAGAAAGAAAGGAAGTGAATAGACAAAGTGCCGAAGGAGATATTGGAATCAGATTAAACTTCAGGAAAAAGGAAGAGAGAAAATATTCATATAAATGGAACTGTAGCAGCTAAATATATATGTGATGTTGACACAAATGAAGTAAAAGAGAGATTTTATTTTATTTCTTACTACTCTGTTTTCCTCTCCTTGAAGTTCCAGAAGCAGGTGAAAAAGTTTCCAACTCAGATTCTTGACCAAACAAAAAAAAACTGATGTTTATTCCATGTTACAGAAGGATCGTCTGAAAACTGAACCAGGAGTAATTTACAGAAGATCAGATTTCAGAAATATGACAGGTGCCATTAATCTTCTGCAATTTATTATAGAAATCAGCATACTGTCTTTGTTTTCAGAGAATTTGCTTTGTTGCTAATTAATTATTGTTACTGTTATAATCACTACTGCTGATACTGAAAGATGCTTCTCATCTCTAAAAAACGAGTTAAGACATTTTTAAGAAGCACTGTTAGCAAAGAAAGACTAAGCTGTCTAGCCATGCTATCAATAGAAAAAAGTATAATAAATGACATATTTAAATTCAACAAAAATATTATTGATTTGTTTCCTGTGGGGGGGGGGAGACAGAATGTGGATTTAATTTGTAAAAACTACTATTTTATAATTGACATTCAAAGATATTTTGTAAGCAACATTATAATTTTATTAGATCCCATTGTAAGAAATAAAATGTTAAAAATTGTTACCCAACATTTGTTTTGTGAATTTCCATTTAAATAATGCACAAGCTGCCACTGAGTAAGAGTAAAATAATTAGTAAGGGGGGAAATGTCTAGTTGAGTAAAAATGGTGACAAACATCCTTTATTGAAAATTGAAAAATGATCAGGACTAACCCTATAAAAGAAAGTGAAACAGCAAAAAATGTGTAATTATAAAGTTCATGAAATTACTACATATCAAAATATCGTATTAGCAGCTAAAAGTGCATGAATGTAAAAGTTGTGTAAAGGAATTCATTTTTCAGGCTTTCTGAGGGATTGAAATAAATTTATATATTATTACTTTTATGTAATTTTCCCTTTTGGCTTATTCAAACCCTGTATGTGTTTCTTTGTTCCATGTATGTAATTTTAAATATTACTAATTGATTATCTTACTTTTTACTGCCTAAATTTAAATGTTTATAATAATGTTTTATTTATAGAGAAATTACTGACTCAAGACAGCCAGGTTTGCTTTGTCTATCAACCAGAACAAAAGTGTGGTCGGCAGCATTATTGCACTGTGTGTCCATATACAACCAAATACAAATCTCACTTGAATGATCACATTCGAAAACACACTGGAGAACGACCATTTGTGTGCTCTGTTTGTAAAAAAGCATTTTCAAGCAAGAGCTATTTAACAAAACATAAAATGATACAGCATTCTGAAAATAAAAATTTATTACATTGGTGTTAATTTCCATTGTTTTTTAAATTTTGTTACTCAAGATTTATGATTATATGTTGAATTTTTTATTAGTATATTTAACTTTTCATTCTCAATATTTTGTGTTTTCTTGAAACTATTTATTGTATTTGGGGGAAAAAAAAAAAAAAAAAATGCTAATCAATTGCGTAACTTCAGGTTTTTTTTTTTGCTTATTTTCATTGCATTTTTATTACACTGTCATTATCTTTACAAACAGCTTACTTTTTATGGGAGAATGATTTTTCAATTATATGAATTGGCGTAGCAAATTATTTGGGCATTTGAATGAAAAGAGATCAGAAAATTTATTTTGTGTAACCAATATAAGTGTGATTCTTATGTGCAGTGAAAAAAAAAATGTGTATTTTTCAGATTAAAATATTATAAGTTTCTCCTTTTTTGTTTGAAAGTTTTAAAATGTCTATTTCATTTTGAAAATCTTGCTGATATTTTTCATGTACATGTACTTAATATGTATTGACCATGTATAACTCTCACGTATATGATGAAACATGCATAATTCTTCATAAGTGTTAACATAATAAAGCTAATCTCATTTATTAAAAGTCTACCTAAGTATTATTAGAAAACTTCACAATATACAGTAACTATACGTAACATAATGAGAAAAACTGCACTTCTTTTTCAACAATATTTCATTCAGAAATGGTCGTGTGGTAGTTGTATATAATCTTCAAATAAACTAAAATGTGATTTAAGTTACTTTTTTATCAAATCACTTATTATTTTCTTCTGTTTTTGAGATAATTTAATATTTTCCATAATTTGAAAGCTAATAATCTGAATATTAGTAATGATTTGGAGAAAGCTATCATACAGGTTTTTTTTATTAAATATCTGACTTGAATATTAATCTTCTTTTCGGAATAAATTTTTCAGGAGAAAAGACTTAAATGTTAATATGTAAAACTTGAAAAATCTTTTTAACGTGCATGTTTTCTAACATATGTCACCTCTGTAATTTTTCTTTCACAGGTTCTGTGAATTCATATGTATGCAACATTGAACAGTTTACAATTAATGAAAATGGAAGAAATTATACTAGACGTCGCTACTTATGTACATTCTGTCCATATTCAACAACATGGATTACTCATTTTAGATATCATATGGTTACTCATACAGGAGAAAAGCCATATGAATGTACAAAATGTCTGAAAAAATATACAATAAAACCCAATTTAAAGAGACACATTGCTAAATGTCAGGTTTCCATTTAAAGTGCGTATACTTCTTTTAAATATTATTAGAATATATTTATGAATAAATTATCTGTTGTATTTTTTTTCTTTTGCATATTTCAGTCTGTTTTAAAGCATTGCCTTTAAATACATTTGTTATCAGGTTATTCAATAAATCATGTAAAAGGAAAATCATTTTCCATTCTTAAATTGGTTGTGAAATCTTCTAGTGTAGTTTTTAATCAGATTTTTCTGTTCTGAATAAATTCATTTTAAATGCTTTACGAAAAATCTCATCCGCAGAGAGAATAAAGTCATTGAATACTGGTACCTTATCTCAAGGTCAACTCCCAAAGAACAGGCTGGCTGCATTGTTTTTAGTAGATTCCTCATATGTAAGATGAATATGAGCTGATTTCCTTAGAAAACTCTCCATGAAGGATTCTTCCTAAGGCAGTTAACCCTAGTATGCTTTGCCATAGTCAGCTAACCAACTTACTACCATTTGTTAGTTTATTTAATTCTTCTATTTTTTTTTATTTTTTTTTTTTTTTTTTTTTTTTTTTTAAAGCAAGTAATTTTTTTCACAGCAAAATTCTGTCCTTTAAAATAAATCTACTGAATAAATAAGCAGTGACTTATTTATTCAGTAGAAATAAAATATAACTGAAAAATCTGTATTAGTATTTCAACCTTCATACACTGTTATGATTTTATGGCTGTAGTTTCAACTGCAGGTAGGTGGATCATACTGGCATTGGAAAATAGTTTAATGGCATAGTGCAATTGCTGATTTTTTATCGTATTGTTTTAAAAAAAAAATTATGAATCTTGAAGAACTGGTGGATATGTTTATTTGAAAGACGGCTAGGGGTGTATATATATTCAACTGTTTTAAAAAAGCCCTCACTAATCTAAAATTACTGTTTTTAATTCCTTGTGCATAATAAAGGAACTACTGTAATTTCAAAATATTTCGGTTTTCAGATTTCAACGGAAATACCCATTTGTGAATAGTTCCGTCCAACGACTTCATATAATCACCCCACAGAGAATTCGTCTGCTAGAGTGTCTCCAACATATACCACGTGACTAATGCACTTGGGGAGTGATAGCTTAGGCTGTTCATCGCCAGTTGGCCCGCTTTTGATATGGCAGGTAGTGCTTTTTATTTCCGTCTGCTAGCAGTCAGCAGACAACGGCCTCGAATTAGGTTGTTCGATTTTTTACAATTATATTTAGATATAACTTAACCCCTTTTTTCCTGAATATTTTATCTATATTTTTAATAATCGCTTTAAATTATTTGCACCATTGTTTAAGATATTTAGCTTAAATAATTTTAGGAAGAAAATCTAAAATAAATAATAAAAAATTGCGATTATATACTTACAGACTGTTGACTTTCAGCTGGAACTATAAACTATTACTGCCCAAACTTAATATAGTTTATGATACAAAAAGATAAATTATACTGAATTAATTAATTAATTAAAATTATGTTTACTTAAATATATGAGAGTAAAATATTAAAGAAAAATATTTTACTTTCTTGTATTTAAGTAAACATAATTTTACTTAATTTTAAAGTCGGATATAGTTTTTGGAAGAATTTCATTTAACTTTGACCTTCTCGGTATTACCAATAGTACTTGCACATTCTGGAAATGTACAATAGTAAAGAATTTTTATTTTTAAAAAGATCTTTATTCACTGATTGAATTGTGCCCATTTTATTCAGTTACTTGCATATTAAAGTGCTTATAAATTCAGCAATGTCCAGAAATAATTTAATGCAAACTTGGAAGCTACTGCCTTAACTGTACATTAAATTTAGTAAGATTTCATATTTTGCAGATCAGCTGTAAAATGTACATTTCCAAAATAAAATTTTCTTTTTGAATTATAAATTCAAACATGACAATAAATGTTCTATTTTATTCCTGTATCCCAATTAAATAAACACATTATGAAAATGTGCATTTAAATATAGTATTTACTATAAAGTAAGTGGCTTAATTACAAATAAACACTAAAAAATTAAGTAAAACAAAAATATACTACAGTCAAAAGTCTTTAATTCGGAATCGTCGGGACTTCGGCGATTTCGGATTATAGATCATCAGTTTAAATCTGGTAAGATGGCATGCAGAAATTATAAAATTAAAAATATGAAACCATAATTTATAAAATAATGAGCAATTATGATCTAAAGGGTATCAAAATTTACAAAAAAAAAGAAGCTTAATATTTATTTGTTTGCTTTATTAAACATTTCTTTCAACGCGCGCATGCGTAAAGCATACCTTACGCATAGCCGAAATTAGAAAATTGCAACCAGAAAACTATTTGATTTGTATTCGTGACATTTATAATGACGAGGAATTTGATTTAAATCATATCAAAGACGGAGTACATCGAAATTAAGTAGTACATTTAGTAAGGAATTATAAGCCGAATAAAATAAAAACATCTTCCCTGAAGATAACGATAGTGCTGACAGAACATCTTCCAGTTCAATGCGAGGCCGCGACGTCTCCCCTCCCCGCGCAGAGCAGCGTGAAATTGATAAAAAGATTTCGGAACGGTTAGATAAACAAAGGATATACCTTTATGCATTTTTTGTTTGATGGACATCGAAACATACTTTCGTTTTCTAGATCCTTTGGGAGCTCCAGCATCGGAAATTCTATTTGACATAATCGAAAGTTCAAGCTTACTTTTATAAAATTGCTTTTACAGTCTGCCAAAAATAATAAGCCGAATCCAATTCGAAGATTAAGGAACAACGCAATCATCAACATTAACTGAAATAGATAATTAGATATCTGAATGCGATGTAATACTAAACAAGCATTTTTCTGAAAATGTATTAAATACGTTATACAAGCGATTGGTTTTAAAATATTTAGCACATATTTGCAAGAAATTGTAAGGAGAAAAAATGATTTTTCTCGTGTTTTTTTAATATAATTTTCATGAAATGTTTGGAGAAGATTCATTTGAGTTGTTGCTGTCGTAATAGAAAGACTATAAAATGAAGTGGACGTTACAGATCAAAAAAAAAAAATAATCTTAATTTGTCTCAGTGTTTGTATCATAGAAATTCTAATATATATATGTTTAAACTGTGTGTGGAAAGACAGAAAGAAGAAGAACCAAAAGTAGATTGAACAAAAACATCTTGCATATATTCTGAACATGTTGGGAGAAGAATATTTCTACATATTTGTATTAAGGATGGAAAAGGATATATGATTTACGTTACTTTTGGAGAAATGAAACTGATTATTTGAAACCCGAATTATTGGAGTACAGTTAAACCAAAATGAATTTAAGAAAGTTTGTTATCAATGTAAACATGTAATCTAAAGAAAAAATAATAAAAAAGATATGGATAAATTGCAAAACTCTTGTGTTTGTTCTCTTTACTTTCTCTATCTATTATTTATTTATTTTGAAAAGCACACTTTTCATTCTACAGTAACATTTTTTTTAAAATTGTACGTTTTATTTTTTCCTAAAAAATTCGAAAAACCATATACATCAAATAGTCAATAAGGAATGAGGATCTGAAACATTTTTTTTTAAAAGAGAGAAATCCACAGCGATAAAAACACAGATATAACAACAAAAAATTTATTTATTCGAGGAACATTATGCGGAGATGAGATACATTACCTTCCGTTGTTGTTAAACGGTATTAAAACAATTTATTAAAAATAAAACTTATAATTTATAAAATAAAAAAACACTGTTGAGAAGATGTTAAAGTTAAAACATCCAAGTTTGTGTTTGATTGTTGGTCCGAGTCAATCTGGAAAAACATCACTAGTTCGACAAATGATAAAAATTAATATCTTCGATATTCCGAAACAAAACATTAAGTGGTGTTATTCATATAGTATGTAAGGATCTTAAGTTTTACTAACGTTTATTTTATTTTAAATCTTTACTATCACTTCTTATTTTCTACTTCCGGCCAGAATTAAAAGCGTTAACTTATTTATGCAAAATTTGTCTGGCGAACGCCAAGTATTTAAGTTGTGGCTTTTTGCCAAGCTAGAGAGAGGAAGGAGTTAGTCGAAGCAGGCCGCTTGCCTTAGAAGTTTTATTCAGTTGCTGTTTGCCTTCCAGGCCAGAGGTTTAATCCTCGTGATAATTTTAAACGTATTGTAGTGTTAACAGTTCTCTGTACTACATACGGCCTTCCTGTTAATATCCCGGCCAAATCTTCCACGTTTTTATTATTCCCAAAGTTAAGTTAGAGTTTAGTTAAATATTTTATATTCTTACGTTCAGACCACAAGTAGTTGGTCTCTGTATTCCGAAGTACGGAAATTATTGTAAAGAGTGAAAAATAAAGGGTTTTGTATACCCTTCCTGTGTATCTTGTCTACTTCCCACATTTATTGAACATAGCTTTAGTAAGCTCCCTGTGTTCCGAGTCAGGATCTGTGCATGTTCCCAAAGAAGTAAGACGGAACATTGAACCTGATAGTGGCGCCCAACGAAGAGAAGAATAACCATGGCCGAGTTTCAGAAGAAACCTGTGCTTCCTGCAGAAGCGGCTCAGAATCCAAATGCCAGCTGCCGCCCTGGAAGGATTTGGTTACAACATCGTCCAGACCATGCGCGCTTCGATGAAACCATAAGCAACATTTAATGGAAACTCACCAGTAACCAGTTTTTGGAAAAATTGGATGACCACTTCATGCTCTACCCCGTGCACGAGTTTCAAAAGTTACCTTAGCTACCAGCGCTTTGAGGGGCCAAGCGCTTAACTGGTTCAAATGTATAGGCAGAAGTCTCTTGGGTCAAGCAGGAAGTCCCACCTATACTTACGAGAATTTCAAGACTGCCCTAGTAAAAGCCTTCCCTGTCGTAAGGGATCGTGCGAAATTAGAAACGGAACTTTTCAGTATATATCAGGAAAGAATCGAAAATCTCTCAAGCTTTATTTTAAGAAAAATTCACGTCTTCAAACTCTTGTATGGAAACCGTCCGAATCCTGAGATAATTCAAGTGATTTTGCCGAGGTTACTTCCCCAAGTGCAAGACTTTTTGAATTAAGGAATCCGACTACACTGGAAAATTATTTGAGCTAGCAATCCCTTTTGAAAGTAGAAGAACGCGGACTTGAAAGAAGACGCCAATATCAACAACGAAATCAATTTGGTGCGCCAAGACACAGCAAAGTCAAGCACACGGCTACGAAGCAAAGCGAATCAGTGGGCAAGGAAACCCGAGCATTCAAAAACAGCCGGCGAACGTCGACAGTTCAATGGCAATCCATAAAAAAAGTCTCAAGGCCAGTGGAAAAAGAAGGAAAGCATGGAAACGAAAAATGATTTAAACTAAAACGGATTTCTGCTGACGGGAGGGTGCGGAAATCCGAAGGCCAAGAAAACCCCTCTGCCTTCAAGTTAAATACAGTAATGGTGAAAAATTTGACTCTTCCGAAGATTGAAGTGTTGGTGAATAATATCCCAGCCACCGCACTCTTGGATACAGGCGCGCAGTGTTCCTGTGTGGCAGAAGATTCCTGAGGACTGCTTTTATAACCAAGTCTGGCACTTATGCATTTCTGCGTATGCCGTTTGGCCTTTCAGGGGCACCGGCAACATTTCAGCGATGTATGGACATTGTGTTAAGGCCTGTTCTTGGAAAGTCCACATTTATCTATTTAGACGATATCATTATTACTAGTGATAATCTCGACCAACATGTACAGGATTTAAGACAGGTGTTTCTTTATTAAATGAGGCGGTCTAAAAGTTAATGTCGAAAGTGCAAATTTGCAGCCCCTGAATTAAAATATTTAGGTTACAAAATATCTCAGAAAGGATCGAGACAGACGAATCAAAATAATTGCTGTACAAAGTATCCGACTCCAAACACGGCGAAGAAGCTCTCTTCTTTCTAGGACTTTGTTCATATTATAGGTCCTTTATAAAAGATTTGCAGCTATTGCTGAACCATTGTTAAAATAAAAAGGAAAGGCAGATTCTCGTGGACGGCCGACGCCAATAGTGCGTTCGAAAAACAAAGCAAGCATTAACGCAAGCCCCTGTGTTGAAATTTCCTGAAAAGGATAGAATTTAGAATTTCAGCGGATGCTTCGGATTATGCGGTAGGAGCGGTACTTTCACAAAATCAGCAGCCGTGGCATTTTTTAGACGAATTTTAAATCAAACACAAGAAACTATTCCGCGACCGAGAGAGAGGCACTTGCAGTTCTGTTAGCAGTGCAAAAGTTCCGATCTATTTTGGAAGGCGCCAATAACAGTGTACTCTGATCATGCGGCGGTAACTAGATTGTACTCAGGAAAAACTTACCCCAAGGTTAATAATGGCACCAACTACAAGATATATCTGTAATCAAGCATACCCCCGAAGGAAATTCGAGAGATGCCCTAGCGAATTAAAATAAGAAGTAATACTTAAAGGGGCAAGCTCACGGCATGTAAAAATTCCCGAGAACTGTATACCGAACTGGTGTTGTATCTCTCAATAGAATTCTAAAAGGTAAAAAGAAATCTCTTACCTTTTCTTTCACCCGGGAGCCGAGCTGTGTTCCATTCTAATTCTTATTCGATGAAATATCTAAATAATTCCAAGCTTTTGCATAAAAACTGACACTTCTGTATAAATAAAGATATTATATTTAGATATATATACAGTTATATACAATTATTAGATTACATAAAATTACGCGCTCTCCAGCTAACAGTCATTCGAGTTCGGGTTCAGAGTTCTAACTACGTTCTTACGTAGGATTATTCTCGAGTTTAGATGTAATGGTGCTGATAGTTCGGAGTTTAGATGTGGAGGCGCTGATAGTTCGGAGTTTAGATGTAACATCACCTCCCACCATTGAGATCCGACGATGCGGAGGAACTCAATACACACAGGTCCAGTCGATGAGGAGGCCGACGAACAACTCGTCCAGCTCTGGTCATCACTCGAGGACTTGAGGCAGGTTCTGGAATACTAGCAGCCTGATCAGCCTGACCAGTTGCATGGTCGTTTCTATCTCGAGGTGCTCTGTCGGGGAACGGAGGGCCAACGGATTCGGAAGTAGAGATCTCCAACGGGAAAAGCCGGGGCACTGGACGAAGCAGAATTCCATTTCTTGTCTTGACCCTCGCTAGTCTAACTATTCCGTCTTTACTGGGGAAAAGCTCGACTATCTTGGCTAAAGGCCAATGTATGCGTCGTCTCTGGCTGTCTTCCAAATAGAACGACATCGCCTACTTGCAACTGTTGAAATTTTCCCTTCTTTATTGCCTGTTGTCTCAACTGACCAAGATATTCATTACGAAATCTGTTTCGTAGATCATGTCTTATTCTCTGTCGGTATTTGGCTCGACGGTTTAGTTCTTTGGAATCTACGTAGTCCATATCAGGAACTCCTGATGACGGCAATTCTTGCAGGAAACATCATAGGGGTCAGTGGTGATGGATCTTGATTATCCTCTGATACGTATGTGATAGGTCGCGAATTAATCACTTGTTCACAGTCACATAATATAGTATATAATTCTTCATAATTTAAGGACGTTCGACCTAACACTCTTCTTAAATTTTCTTTCACCATTCGCACAAGCCTCTCCCACCAACCTCCCCACCAGGCGGCGGTCGGAGGGTTGAACTTCCATCGTATCCTTTGGATAGAAGCAGCTGAACATATGGCGTTCCAATTAACTTTCTTAAGAACACTGTTAGTCCCTACAAAATTAGTTCCGTTGTCGGAATATATCACATAAGGTCTACCTCTTCTGGCAATGAATCTACGTAAAGATTGGATGAAAGTTTCTGTAGATAGAGAAGTAACTAGTTCGAGGTGAATGGCTCTATAAATGGCACACATGTATACAAGACTATCCACGCTTTAGACCCCTCACGGAGATAGAGAGGACCCGCTAGATCTACACCGACGACTTCAAAAGTCGCCCCTTCTCTGACTCGATCTTCGGGTGGAAATCCTGGCTCGACTTCCACTCTTTGTGAAACAAATCTTTTACATCTTACACATTTTCTGATAATATTTCGAATACTTTTTCTGGATTTTAATATCCAAAAGTTTTCTCTAAGATTTGTCATTAAAGTGCTGACACCAGCATGCTGGAGTTCTAGATGTTTCTCGTAAATTAGTCTCTCAACAAGAATATGTTTTGAAGGTAAAATGATAGGATATCGGAAATTTTCATTATCTTGACGCTGTAGGACGTTCGTTTTGGCTCTTAAAATTCCATTTTGGTCTACGATTGGTCTCAGCGCACGAATAGCGGGATCGTTTATGCCTGTAAATGATTCTTTCTGTACCAATCTACAAAGTGCCTTTTCAGCATTCTCCAATTCATCAACTGAGACATCAGGAGAGGTTTTTATCTTTGTTCTTTAAATTGTGATAAAACCTGAAAATCCAAGCGATCATTCTCACGGTTTTTCTATATGAAGAGAAGTATTTGTAGTACCGGTCCAAATTGTCTCCATGATCTAGAAGAGTCAGAATCGTTTTCCTTTTTTCTTTGTTTATAAGTTCCTCATCAGGCTTTTCTTCTACATGGGGCCACTCGTCTTCTGGTAAGTAAAGCCACGATGGGCCCTCCCACCATGCCGATTTCTGTAATTGCTCAATAGTACATCCTCTCGATGGGAGATCCGCTGGGTTTAAACTTCCAGGTACATGCCTCCAGTCAGATATTCTGGTAAGCGATCTTATTTCTTGTACTCGATTGTGAACAAACGTACCCCATGCTTGATCCCTTCTTATCCACCCCAAAGCTGTAGAAGAATCACTCCAGAACACTGTTCTACAATTCTTAAGTTTCAAATCTGATAGAATTGTTTTGGCAAGCCTGGCACCTATCAGACAGGAGAGAAGTTCAAGACGTGGAATCATAAGTTCCTTAATTGGGCCTCTTCGACTTCTTGCGCTTACTAACTGAACCTTTACACCTTTGATGGTTTCATCTCTTAAAAATGCACATGTTGTATAGGCTCTTTTACTAGCATCCGAAAAAACGTGGAGCACTACGGTATCTTCGTTTTCGTAATTAATATTTAACCAACGAGGAATTTCAATCTGAGATAGCAGAGGCAATTGGTTCAACCAAGTCCCAAACTGCTCACTTAGGGGAAGAGGAAGATCTTCATCCCACTTAATCTTCTGGTTCCAGGTTTCTTGCAAAATTAGTTTAGGAATTACAGTTATCGGTGCAGTAAAGCCAATGGGATCAAAAATTTTCTGGGTAATTGACAAAACTTTTCTTTTGGTAATAGGTTCCCTCAAGTTAAATGTTTCTTCGATCTTGCAACTCAAACTATCTTTTTCTAAATCCCATACTAATCCTAATACTGGGACAACTTTCGTCTCTTGCTCTCTATCTCATCGATCATGTCAATGCGAAAATTTGATCGCCAACATCTCAAATTGAAATGCCCTGAAGCCAAAATCAATCTTGCTTCTTGAACGAAATTTTCGGCTTCATCTACGTGATTTAAGCTAATTAACGAATTATCGAGGTAAAATGAATCCTTCAAAATATTAGAAGTTTCTACAAACTTTTCTGGGACTGTAGTCAAAAGGTGACTAAGTGTAGCGGCTAGCAGAAACGGACTTGATGTGAGTCCAAAAAAACAACTCGGTTATGTCTGTAAATTTTAAACTTATGTTGATTATCGAACCATAGAAACCTTAAAAAAATCTCTATCCTTTTCTGCTATTTTGATTTGACAAAAGGCCTTTTCGATGTCAGATGACACTCCTATGCGATATTTTCGAAAACGATTCAATATACGTGAAATTAATTTCTATTAAATTTGGTCCTTTACGCAAACAATCATTGAGAGAGGGTAAATTCTTAGAACGTGCAGATGCGTTGAAAACAGGCCGTACCTTCGTAGTTTCACTAGACTTCTTTATTACAGGTCTGTGTGACAAGTAGTGCACTCCTTCCTCTTTTTCCTCAGTTACTACCTCAATAATGTCCTTCGCTTCCCACTCATCAAATATTTCTTCGTAATCTTTTCTTCTGCGTGTGTTAATTAGTTTACTTTCGGTTTTGACGAGGTGTCTTTCTGCCATAGTACGGTTACTGGATAAGACGGATTTATCTAAAATAAAGGGTAGGTTTACTTCATATCTAAGCTATTTCGTTTTGCACTTTCTAAGAAATGTTTTCGGGTTTCTTCTTCCAAGACACTTTTCGTTTCGTTTTCCTCACTTGAAATCCCCAAATTGTCTAACTGCCAAAAATTGGATTAATTTGTATCGGAAACATGTAAGGATAAAGAAAGAACGGACAGGGAACTCGACGTATTCGCATTCTCTTTAATCTTGCCCATTAAAGTCCAGCCTAACTTGGTCTCAAAGGCTACGTAATCCCCCGCAAAATGTTCAATTCTTTCAGTGAACAATTGTGCTGCGGTGTCCGCTCCTAACAGCATATGAATCTCTTCCGGATTTTCTTGAAACAGACAGAGATTTCCATTCGCATGATTGTCGTTGATAAGGATTCCCCTTTTTTCCATTACTTTAATTAACTTTTCGTCTTTGATCTTAGGTAGTGACGAACAAATTTTCCTCTGGTCTAGTGCTTCGATTTTTACACCTGTACTTTCCATCTAAACTAGTTAAATCTATTTGATAACGATTATGATCTTCCGAAACTTCTACACCCCCAAATAACCCATGTTTAATTCTTTCAGTTCCTATCTTTTCTAATTTCAACGTTTTAGCAGCATATTGACTTATGTACGTGTTCTGACTTCCGGTGTCTATTAGCAATCTTAAATAACCCTTTAAGGTTTTTCCCAGCTACCCCTACGACCAAAGTTTGTAAATAAACTTCAGAACGGTTGCTTTGATTCGAAAGTACTTTATTTTCAACTTCCTGGACAGTTTTGATCGTTCCCTTCCTACTCTCGGAATTAATTCTGTTTCACATAATCGTAGAATGCTTAGAGTGACAATGGGAGCAAAAAATGTTAGAATCACAAAATTTGCTGATGTGACCCTTATTTTGTAAACACCTAAAACAAGTGCCATTTTTGCGTAGTATTTCAACCTTTTCGTCATTCGTTAGTTTTTTTCTGGGCAATAGGACATTTATGGCTTGAATGGGAAAAATCTCCGCAAAAAACGCATGCCTTAATCAATTTTTCTTTAATACCCGTGGACACTAAATCAGAAGCAGAAGAAGCTTTCGTTTCTAATTTATTGCTCTTTCCATCGCTGAAATGACGAGTGTTTATTTTCTGGACTGCATACGCAGACTGACGGCGCCCACTATTCGCTGTCGAATGCTCTGAATTCTTATTTATGACTTCCGCCCTTTCGCGTGAATCTAAACATTGAGCTATAATCAAGCACAGGCTTTTAATATTACAATACGCACTTCCATTACTCATTCTGTTAATCTCAAGCAAAATATCTTGGGGAAGTGATTTCAGAATTATTGGACATAACACACTTGATAAATTCTCGAGAGACTGACCCAAATTTTCTAAACATCTTAATTCGATAGAAATATTATCATAAAATTTTCTAAAGGCGCGAACATCATTCGAGATTTTCAACGGTTTAGTGTTCAAAATGTTATTTATGTGAGTGTAAATGAGCACATCTGTTTTCGCAAATCTTTCTTTTAGAAGATCAATTGCGGAATCGTAATTAGCAGCAGTAATCGGTAATCCTTCGACTGTATTTAAAGCAGAACCACCTAAATGAGCTTTCAAATAATTAAATTTGTCTATTTTATCTAATGAATCATTTTTTATGAATGGCAGACTCGAAACTGTTCCAAAAGGTTAGCCAGTTGTTTATATCTCTCCGTAGAATTTCGTTAAAGTTAACTTAGGTAATTTAATTCGAACAGACTCGTTATGTTTTGGTTCGCTTTGACTGTCAGTACTGAACTGGTTATTTTTACTACCGTTTCAGTAGATTTGCGTTTTTAATTCGTCGATTCTTTTGGAGGTACGGAAACTGCATTTAACGACCTTTTGACGATATTCTTCAGATTTTTGGAATTCAGCATCAAATTCTTCGACTTTAAAAAGAGGTTCTAATTCTGTATCGACACTTTTAAGCGATTCGAAATTATTCTTTAATATTTCTAAATTTTCTTCCAAATCATGAATTTTCGGATCAATTTCCGAAAGCTGCGATTCCAAATCTTTAAGCGATTTCGTTACTGATGTTCGGAGAGCTGCGCGCTTCTTTTTTAACTTATTTAAGACCTCTTCAGACATGTTCTTAACAGTTCAAAAATTCAAAAAGTAATCAATAATTGTATTCTTAATCTTTATTGTCTAATTTAAATTCTTATTCTTAGCTCGGGCGTCCCGGCAGGGATGCCAAAAAATTGTTGTATCTCTCAATAGAATTCTAAAAGGTAAAAAGAAATCTCTTACCTTTTCTTTCACCCGGGAGCCGAGCTTGTTCCATTCTAATTCTTATTCGATGAAATATCTAAATAATTCCAAGCTTTTGCATAAAAACTGACACTTCTGTATAAATAAAGATATTATATTTAGATACAGTTATATACAATTATTAGATTACATGAAATTACGCGCTCTCCAGCTAACAGTCATTCAAGTTCGGGTTCAGAGTTCTAACTACGTTCTTACGTAGGATTATTCTCGAGTTTAGATGTAATGGTGCTGATAGTTCGGAGTTTAGATGTAACACGAGCTCATGCGGGTAACGGAGGGAATTATATGCGTGCGGCCGATGCAACCAAAATACGGGACATCAATGTATAGGTCCTATATACAAAATTTCAACGTTCTGAGGCTACTCGTTTTTGAGTTATGCGAGATACATATGTACGTACGTACAGACACCACGAACAATTCTCTTTAGAATTCATTTTAAAGCAGTTTTATAATTTTTTTGGGGCAGAGAGAGTCCTTTATTCGGTCCTTACGTACAGATGTCCAGCAAAAACATAGTTAAATTGCATTCGATAGGAACGTTTTTCAATTGAAAATAATTCTTAATATTTCAACTGGAAATTAAGAATATTGTATTTAGTTAGATATTTTTAGCGTAATTATAATTACAATTGTTTTATTTTCCGTGCAATGCAGCACGAGACATATTTTAAGAGAAAGCTACGCTGGAAAATTAAAAATCGTGGAGCACGTGCATTTAACATGTGATAAATAGATATCTCATAACTTATATTTAAATTGAATAAATGTAATTGACTACTGCGCTAGCTGTAACTGTAATTCTACTCTTTTGCTTTCCAGGAAACTCGAGAAAACAGAAATCACGAGAACTTTCTCGCGACCGATTAAAAAGCTTTAAAAAGCCCGAGAGAGCCATATCAGCTCAGTTGCTGTTTAATTAACTGTTGTTGTTATTGTTATTATTGTTGATGGGGTTAGCTTTCTCTGCGCTTTTGGAATACGTTCTATTTAACGTTTTAGTAGTTTAAAATACAGCTACTCATTATATTGCGTGACATTGTGATCGTGTACAAATATCTTTGCGGAAAATCCAGGGTTTTGTTATATTTCTTGTGATAAGAATAAATTTTATTAACTTTTTATCGGACTTCTGCATTCAATTTAGACAATATTTAGACACTCTTATAGGCATGTTTTTCATTTGAAAATAATTCTTAATATTTCAGTTAGAAACGCATTTTATTGCATATTTATAACATTTGCTAATTTCAAAACAATTAATTAGTATATTTTATTGATTAAATTCGAGTTTTAAAGTAAAAATTACTAAGCACATTTGATTCATGTATGGAAAACAGTTTTAAAAAATTTTGTTGTCTCTGAGTTTTTAAGGCAGGTTTAATTTAGTTATTCAAATACGTCAAATGTGACATAGCCTGCATCCCATATAAATATTACTTACTGAAGTAGTATTTAGAGGTTGTTCCATATCGATTTGTTTAAAATCAAAAACAAATTTGATCACACAATTCGATATTGGCACCATGTTTAGTAAATTAAATTCTTTTGTACAGACATTAAGCATTTTTTGGAAGAAGGAGTGATGAAAAATGAGCAACTTCCTCGCGGTAAATCGAACCACGGAACTCTGGAATACGCAACCAGCGTGCAAACCACTACACCACGAAGGCACGCTAAGAATGCGGTGGGGAATACCTTATATACTCCCCCTTTTAAAGGGCGACTGAGGTTACGTGACAATATCGCCAAATCATCGGTGTGGAGAATCATCATCCACCACCCTTTTAATTCGGGAGCCATTTTAGAGACATTGTGTATTTTTTGGAAGCAGGACTGAGGAAAAATGAGCAACGCTCTCGCCGGGAATCGAACCACAGACCTCTAGAATTCGCGACCAGCGTGCAGACCACTGCACCATGAAGGGACTCTAAAAAAGCGGGAAAAATACCTTATACTTTAAACACTAGCCGTTGTCAAATATATATAACTGAAATTAGTTTGGTTTATTTGATTATGATAAAGCACTCGAGGGTTACTTCCGAATAAGAAAGATGTTTTCTTGGAGGACTCTGTAAGAGAGACTGACTTGTATCATATTACACATGGAGAAAAAAAAATTGCTCATGCAGCCAGTCCGTTCGCTGGGAACGAATTACCAGTGTTTAGCGAGGTTATCGCTCTGTCGCTGGTGTGCTAAAAGCCGAAATAGCATGTGTAGGTTTTCACGGCTATGCGAACAAAATGTAAGATAATACTTTCTTTCAGTTTTCTACCTTAGAATTAATTAATTGTTATTGTATATTGATGAAGTTTATAAACTATTCACGTCATACACTGATAGCGTGATACAGTCAGATCTACATTACCTTTGAAAGTCAACGATTTACAGTTTCATTGCTTGATATATTTGTCTTTCCTATTCTTCCAGATATATTCTAAAATATGAAAAGAAATATGAAGCTAAAACAAATTTGCTATTTTACGTATGAAAACAGAGACAGAGATCCTCTATCTAATTACAACTTGAGCGTCTGGTTTTTAATTCTTCTTATCTATATATATAAAAGGAAGAGTCTCTGTGTGCGTGTGTGTTTGTGTTTCTTTTCTTGGTGCTGCGGGTAAGCTAATTGACCCAGGGCTACA